TGAATACTATATCCCAGAATTTAATCAGGAAAATTGAACCAGAACAGAAGATAAAAGTATATGAGACTGATAGGTTCATGCACCTACCATTTGAACAGAATCCTAACCTGTTTCCGGGCTTTAAGCAAAGTTCCTTGGCGGTTCTTTGATTTAAGTTAAAACTGGTTTTCTTAGTAGTAACGAGTGAACTCACCATTGAAAGTAGTTAGGTTATGTAGGAAATTGTGTGATCAATGCAATGTGGGTGGGAAGGGAATGGAGGACAATTTTGGACACCGGAGGTGGTGTGAGAGGAGGGTGGGAAGGGACAGAGGGTCAGAAAGAGGGGTGGAAATAATTCTAGCAACTAGAATTGGAAATTTATTTTTTTTGTAATGTGCATGATTGAGTCATGATGCAGTGTGTACTAGATGGGAGATTGCATTTTGTGTGCTGTGATGATGCTTAGGGAAGGAATGTAAATTGAGTTACATATCTATTCAATGACTGCAGTAGGATATGTAGCCCCAGCTAGGTGCTACTTTTTAGGATGCATAAAGTTAGACTTGTGTTCATGGGAATGTGTGTGTCACCTGTGTTTGCTATGAGGGTATTTGGATTGATTAGGTTCTTTGGTGATTCAATAAAATGTGGGGAGAAAACAGTATAGAAAGCAAACATAGATACCAGAGACAGTGTGGGAGGAGAGCAGGAGGTGGCAGAGGGTAAGAGATAGGGAACCAAGGATGGGGGGAAAAAAGCAAAACATACAGAAAACAAGAAATGGAAGATCATTTGCTGAGAATAACAAGTTTGTTGATGTACTCGATTGAGATAATATACAGTATACTCTGGATGGAAAATCTCATTTTGTATGCTGTAATGATGTACAGTGAATGAATGCAAATAAATAAATTGGAAAAAAAAATACCTAAAAAAATGAAGAGATTAAATGTAATATTGGTTAAATAAGAAATTGAATTGGATATATATAAAAGAAACTCCAAATAATAGTTACTTAAAGTTTACTATTTCACACTCAAAAAAAAGAAGGTAAGATGTAGCCATTTAACTGATTTTTAATTAACAGTTATTTGAGATCAACAGAATAAGATATGTCAAGAATGATTATCTTGATATAACTTCAAATAATTTTTTACTTGGACCAAAGTAAGAACATTTTATCTGATGATAAAGTATTGTGCATTTTAAAAATAATCGAGTTAGAATATTTTGGCATCTTACAGAGGAATTAATTCAGGAAGAGGGGTGGGGGGAAAAACCAATGGTGTCAGGGAGATGTTTGTCTTTTAAACTCCAAAGTTAAACAAAGCCCAGTTAAAACTGACTTGGTTTATGTCCGAGGGTCTATAAACCCACAACGAGAGTGCTAAGTCAGGGATCTGGCCAAGTTAGTCTGAAAGTATGTCACCTCCTATTTAGCTATTTCTAATATGATTGTTCCTTTGGATCCCTGAAGCTGAATTGTTCTTTTCTTAAAATGGTTTTGGAACCATAAGAAATCTTTAGGATTAGAGAGAGATTTTCATGATTATCTCCTTTGGCTCCATTAAAGACATCAGAGTCTATTAAACATTTTCCAGAAAAATGATCCCTTCTCAAAGGATTTAACTTTGAGAAACCTGAAATTCCTGTAATTTAAGGAGTAAATCCAGTTAAGTTTGAGATCCTGAGAGTGTAAATTCTTATGGTCACTGCTCATCTTGTTTATCCACATAGTTGAAGACCGACCGTGTAAATTTAAGCCCATCTCTTTTCAATCCAAAACAACAATGAGTCAATAATTGTTTGAATGCCACCTAAATTGCAATCACCATGTTTTCTCAAAATATTTGACCTTACTAAGGCAATCAGATGATTTAGTCTTCTGACTTTTTTAAATTTTTGCCAGCTTCAGTTTTTGTTTACTCTCTAATTACTCTCGAATTAGCTAGTATTTGTGCATTTCTGAAGGATGAGCTAAAACTCACTGCAACAACCCTTCAGTTTTAAACTCTGACTCCTCATTTAGATCTCGGCTCAGAAAACTTCCTCAGAAATGTCTTCTCTGACCTCTCTAATCAAATTGGATTCTGTATGTTTTATGCTTTCAGAGTACTGTGTATCTTTGTTTTCTAGCTTTTGTCATGATGATCATTTCACATTGATTGTGTGAGATGATTTCAGTAATATCTGCTTCCACCACTAGACTGTAAGTCTCCTGAGGGTGGACCCATGCGCGTGCAAGTTCACCGTTGAATTTTGCATAGTGCCCAGCCCACAGCAGATGGTCAATAAATGCTGTTGAGGGGCCAAATGGTGGTGCAGCACTAAAACATGACATCTGTAAGACAATCATACATGGAGAGGGTCTTGGTTCAAGTGTATAGACCTTCCTGAACACAGGGCACACACTTGCCCATAATCCGGGGGCTGGTTGAAGGTTGAGGGTAGATTGTGGTATCAAGGGCCTGATAGGTATGGGGCTGTTGTCTATCTGTCTATCTGTCTGCCTGTCTCTCTCTCTCTTTCTCTGTATCTCTTGCTTAACAAAGAAATAATCTTTTTAAAAAATTATTTATTTAATTTTATTTATTCATTCATTTATTTTAATTTGACCAGAGAGAAACACAGAGGGCGAGAGAGAGAGAAGGAGAGAAAGTGAGAAAGCAAGCCACCAGGTCCAGTACTCGAACCACGGTCGCCCATGTGGGATTGTCCAGTGCCTTATCCACCAAGCCACCTGCTGGTCTCCACAAAGAAATAATCTTTAAAAACTAAAATACATATTGCTTAAATGGTTAAATGAAAATATTTTGTAAATTACTTCTGCAATCCCTTTTCACACTATGCTTAGAACGTAAGAATGAATACAGACTCAATCAGCTCATGTATGGGTCCATCTATAGAAAAGAATTCTGAAAATATTCCACTGCAGTACATAGTAGCCCAGCACAGAAGTCTTACATCAGCATGTTCTTGGCTCTGTACAGATAAAACTTGGTTGGACTTTGAGGTGGTTTCACTGTGGTCTCTGAATGGATTGATGTGAGCTGCTGCTTAGCCTTAGTGAATCCTCAGCATTGGAGCCAGCCTGCCTTTGCTCCCAACTTTAGAACTCAGCACCCCATTTTCCTGACATCTTTCCATTTCAGAAAATGTACAGTTGCTGAAGAAGTTGATGCTTTGTCATATGTTCAAAATGTTTGCTTGCTTTTAATGAAAGATATGTACACTATAAGAATTTTAAAATAAAACATATATGGGGCCAGCAAGTGATGTGGTAGTTAAAGCATTGGATCCCCACATGGCCAGCTCTGTGGTTCAAGTCCCATACCTGGCAGCCTGAATATCCTGCTTGGCACCTGTGCCTGCATACCCAAAACCTCAAGAGGAGAATGGAAGAGAAAGGATTTTGTCATGGCCATCCCCCCTGGGGAGGGGGAGGGATTTTTCACTTTTCCCACTCTCTGTTTCTCTCATACATACCCTATACAAAAAAATAAATAAGTAAACTAAGTATTTATATTTTTAAACCTTTGCCTAAACATATATTTATAGTTACTAATAAAAGATACAATAAAGAAAAATCAAGTCTCAAGGAAAGACCATATGAACAACCAGATTCTAAAAGGTAGAACAAATTCTGAGGACTTCGGAGATCAGCCCTTTCAAATGTCACCAGTACTATTACTTTACGTCGTCAGACTCATTGAAAGAGTTGGAGAGTGGGATCAATCCTTTGGTATTGCCTCTAACTAGAATTATAAAATGTATAAATAACCTAGTATATTTTGGATTTGAATTTTCCTGACTCAAATATTGGAAAGAGTACAGATACAAGTAAGTTTGCCCACATACTTTATAAAGATTTATGGATGTGTTAAGCCCAATTTGGACCAAGCATACATGTTTTGTTAGAAGTATGGAGAGGGACCAGCAGGTATCATGGTGGTTAAGGTGCTGGATTCTCAAAAGGCTGACCTCCAGTTCAAGTCCCAGACCTGGCAACTTGAACACCATGCTGGGTGCTTATGCATGCATGCTCAAAATCCAGGAGGAGAAGGGATTGCCATTCCCCCTGATTTCTCACTTTCCCTCTCACTGTCTCTGTCTTCTGGCAAGTACACATACCCTATGGTAAAAACCTTTAAAAAATTTTTAAAAATAAAAAAGTGTTTAGAATTTAAGTGCTTATTAGCAATGACCCTGTGAAAGATTTATGACCTCAACTATAAAATAGGGACATCTTACATTGATTGTTTTGAGAATTAATGAGGTATTTGTGTTGCTCCTGATGTAGAACAGCAGATAAAGGAGTTTCAGTGTGGGTCATCTAAGCTCCCTCCTTGCCCACACTTTTTCTTGCTCACACACCTGTACACAAGATTGTGTCTGTTCACTGGTTCTGTTCCTCTTTTCTTAGCTGAAATGCTAGCTAGGAAAGCAAGTATTTTATCTTCCTTGTCATTCAACAAACATTTATTGAGTGTCTACATTTTACCAAGCACTGTTCTAGTTGCTTGGATTACATCAGTGACCCCAACGTGCAAATCTCTTAGGCAGCTTACATTCTAAAGAACATATGGAACATGGAGCTTCTTCATACATTGTGCCAGCTACAGTTCCTCGTGGTTGTATTTTTTGTCATTTGGGCAAATCATAATTATTGGCAATAGGTATTATTTTTGAATTAGGGTTTTATAACATCAATAATTCAGGGTCTGTTCTTCCCCACCTTCTCCCCATCTTTCTCTCCACACTCCCCTTCGTTCTTTCTCATTTTCTCCTACCCTTCTTTCTGTTTGTATATTTGAACTGTAAAAACATCTTTATCCATGATACATTTTTTCCTCCCTTAGCTTGGTTGAAATTCCACTTGAATTCAGGGCGCTTCATGACAAGTACTTTTTCTGACTCCTCAGGGATGAAGGGAGGGTCGTTTGGTGCTGACTGGACTGACAGTGGCTCCCTCTATGGGTAGGTGTCCAGATGAATTACACGTCTCTCTCTCTTGTTAGATTGTTGGCTGCGATCACCAGCTGGGAAGTACCGTCAAGGAAGATAACTGTGGGGTCTGCAACGGAGATGGGTCCACCTGCAGGCTGGTCCGAGGGCAATATAAATCCCAGCTCTCCGCAACCAAATGTAAGATACTACAAAGACGGGGCAATTTTGGACTTGTCGATATGTTATTCTCCTCTGGTTTAGCTCTGGCATCCCTCAGCAGCTAAGGACTAATATCTCCACCAAAGTAAAGGCCAATCTGAAAATGTGGTAGAATGCTTCGTGTTCCAGCTTTGGACTGTAGCTTAGGTGGGACAAGTCAGGTCCCAGCTGCAACCCCAAGAAAGAAACCGTTCCTTTGAGGCTTAGCTGGCATGAAATAGACATGGGCACAGCGTCATTCTTTGGGCAACCATAAACTTTACGGCTCAGTATGAGAACAGCCTGCATCTCAGCTCCTGCCGGATATGTAGGCTGAGCTGCCTGATAGAATATAGCAGGGAGAGTGAGAAGATTGGTACCAATTCACTCTTATTACTGTGCAATGAGATGGTCTTCATTTACAAAGTAGCTTGGGTCATTGCTGACACAAGTTCTTACAGAATTAATATTGGGCAGAGACTGTGAAGCCCATTTTTGACCTTTATGTCTTGATCTCCCCACACCAGCAAGTAAATGCATACCTACAGTACTTGTATGTTCTGGGACTTCACATAATCCTCTCACTTAATCTTTTTTTTTTTTTTTTTTTTTTTTTGGAGAGGTTTTTGCTATAGGGCGTGTGTGCATGCCAGAAAGACAGAGACAGACAGACAGAAAGCGAGAAATCATCCCCTGGGGGGATGGTCATGCTGCAATCCCTTCTCTTCCATTCTCCTCTTGGGATCTTGGGCATGCACGCACACACACTCAGCATGAGTTTAAGCCACTGAGTCCGGAACTCTAACTGTGGTCAACTATATGGGAATCCAGTAACATAGCCATTATGCCAGCTGCTAGTCCCTTAATCTTTATAACATCCTCATGAGGAAGGCACTGCTAATGCTCATGTTGTGGGTGTGATAACCAAGGCTTAGCCAGATTATCCAACTTGCTCGAACTCATACAAATATAAAGTAACAGAGCCAAGATGTGAGCCCAGAATCTGATTCCAGAGCCTAATCACTTACCCATTCCTCTGGACTATCTCACAGCCCAGCTGACTGTCTTCATGGTTAGATATTTGTAAAGCGGAGAGGTAGACTGAGGCAAGGTACCTCAGATGTGTGTACAGTTGGGTCCTGCTAAGGTAGATGGAATGAATTCTCATGATACCTAAGCCAACAAAGAAGTTGCATGCTAATCCAGGTCATTTCACAATATACCGTGCTCTGTGGTGATTACTGTTCCAGGTGCTGCAGCAGATACAGAGAGAATTAGGACAGCCCTAGTGTGAATGACCCACATCTTTAGGATTACTTTTGCTTTATTTGGCATGTTGTCTCCAGACTTTGCAATTATCCAGAATCTTCAGTAGACCCTTGATTGAGTATCTCTTCCCACTTGTCTCCCCTGGCTTGGGAAATGAGAGAGTAGTTCCACTTCTTTGTGCTTTGGATTTGTTGACTAGCTGGAGGAAACCAGTGGACATATGGAGGGTTCATGGCTTAAAATAGACTATAGGTCAAGACAAAAGGCAGATGTAGTCATTCTGGAGTGCACCAGGGAACTATTCAGAGAAGTCATGAAAAGGTAGGTTGCCAAGAGGACTAGGCTCTGGGGAAGAAGATAGGAAGGGAAGAAAGACTAGGAACTTTGAAACACACATGAAAAATCAAAGATGCCTTCTTAAAGCATTCTAACTCCCCAGAAGGTAGTGAAAGCTTGCGATTTGCAGAAAATAAAGAAAAAATTACAAAGACTCTGGCAGAATAAAGAATGAGGTAACTTAGACATTGTCATTCAGGCAAGATTTTTCTTTGGTCGCGTGTTCTTCTTCTATGAGATGTGTTATGGCTTCTTCTGTAAGAAGAAAAGTTAAAGAAGTTAGATGAAACCAAAAATAAGTAGAAGCATCATTCTTTTGTAAATCTCTGAAATCAGAGTTGGATATTGGGGGGAGGGGTACATTTAAAGGATCACCCTTACAGAATTCAGAATTCTTTAAGGTATGCTAGAAGGGTTATAATTATTTCTGTCATATAATTGAATCAGTGCTCCTTATCTAGGATCTAGGAGTTACGGTAAGGCACAAAAGGGGACGCCATACATTTGTGCAGTCACTGCTGTATAGCAACTTCTGAGGACATGTTTTTAATGGTGGGGAACCTTCTTTAGTCTTCTGTCTCCCACCTTCCTATTTTCACAGAGGAACCAGAGCCTCTGCTCAGATAATTCCTCTTACCCTCCTGTTAGGAAGTCATCAGGGACTGCTGGACCTGAATCGTTGGAACAAAGGTGGAGAAGCTTTGAAGGAACAAATTGAAGCAAATTGGGGGCCATATGTCATTTCCAGATCTACAAATAAGTACCTCAATGAAAAGTGCTCTATTCAAGATTGACAGTGGGTAAATGATATAATACACCACCTGATGATTATACATCATGACAAAATGCAATTGTTTCATTTACCTTAGCACTGATGATGCCTCATGACAAAATGATTTATACCAATAAAGCCCACCACAATCTATAGCAGATGCTGAACAAACTGCCTCATTTCTGTTTTCTCCACCCCAGAAGAATCTTCCACCCTATATTTGCAGACTGTGAGGCGACCCTCAGGCAGGGAAGATTATGATGCTCTGTGGGCCCTGGTGTACTGGCCAGGTGAGCAGGTCTGTACACTGGAGTTTTGCCAGGTGTCTCCCCTATACTCTGCCAAAAGGCACCACAAGCCAGCCACATGCTCTTTTAAAACTCCGAGCACTTGGATTCCCCACATTGAACTCATTTTCTTTCTGATTTTACATCCAAGATTTTTCCTTATATTATCAAGCCTCCGGGGAACAAAGGAAAAAGCAGGAGAGCAAGAAGTGCCAGAAGGAAAAAGAGAAGCAGAAGAATCTTATCACATGGCTGCTATTTGCTGATGAGTACAAAAGAAATCATCTTTGTATTAAAAGACATTATGCTTGCTGTATGCAAATATGCACAACAGTTGGGGCCAGTGAGTGACGTGGTGGTTGGGGCACTGTACTCCCACGTGGCTGACCACAGTTTAAGTCTCGGACCTGGCGGCTCACTCTCTCGCTCTCTCTCTCTCACCCTCTTCCTCTTTGGTCAAATTGAAGAATAATAATAAATGAATAAAATTAAAATAAGTAATTCTTTTTTTAAAAAAAAAAGCCTTTAAACAAATACAGACAACAGCCACAGAAAATCAAGGCTCTCTTTTTCTCCCTTTGAAGAAGTTAATATAAGTTAGTTTTTCTATATTTCTTGGTCACTTCTTTTCAACTTACTCAGGATAACCAAAAAAAAAAAAAAGAAAAGAAAAGAAAAAAAAAGAGAGAATCAAATTGAGCTAACATTATCTTGCTACTGATTCTTGAAATTTAAAAGCACATATTCCTACAAGCTTTATTAACTTTGCAGAGCACTCATGTGTAGCTGTAGGTTTTGAAATCACCTGAGACTCTGAAAGCTTTCTCTTTACCTCCCTTGCATGACAAGGGCAAGGTAAACTAATTTTGAGGAAAAATAAAGCCCTTATTCCTTAAAGATATGCTTCTCAGAGTGTAGTTTATGCTGATTTATAATGGCTATGAATAAACATATTCCCAGAATATCATCCTGGCTCAAAGATTTTGAGGTAAAGTATATTTATAATAAAACACAGGTCTCCATATTATACAAAATACATTATGAATTTTTTTAATAAAACACAAAACATTAAAGAAATTTACACCATGCACCTGTCTGCTTCAGGCTATACTCACGGGCTGCTCAAAGATATATATTTATTTATTCCACAGCAAATATTTATTGGGCACCTGCTCTGTACTGAGGAACTGTTCTAGGTGCTAGAAACACAGCAAAGAACAAAACAGACAAAAGACCATTTTTTTTCATGAAACTTACATATTACATAGTTTGAGGGACAGACAGATAAATGAACAATCAAAAATAGTGGTGATAATAATCAGAAAAAAAATAAGCAGGGAGGGAGAAAAACCGATGCGGACAGGCTGCTAGTCACAAGTGTCAGAGGGGAGATGTAATTTTAAATAGATTAGTAAGTAAAGGGCTCACTGACTAATAAAATGGCATTTGAGCAAGGCCAAGAGAGAGGCAAGATGAGGACACCATGCAGAACTCAGAGGAAGAAAATTTCAGACAGAGCAAAAATCAAGCACAACGGTCCAGAGGTCTTTGCATTTGTGACACATTTCATCAAGGACAGAGAAGCCGGTGTGGCTCAAGTAAAGTGAGTTTGAAAGAGACTGGATGAAATGATGAAGTCAGGAAGGTTGTGATACAGGGGAAGGAATGCCACAGGTATTACAGAGCTGTAGACTCTGGATCTTAATGAGTGACAGGAAAGGTCATTGGAGGGTTTTGTGCAGAGGAATGACTTGATTTATCTTTTAAAGGATAATTCTGTTTACTCTGTTGAGAATACTCTAATAGAGCCAACTGTGGTGGTGAGAACAGCAGTTAGGAAGCCACTAGAGTAAGCCATACCAGGGATGACAATGACTTGGACAGAACCAGTAGCTGGGGACTTGAGGAGAAGTGATCTGATTCTGGATTTACTGGGGTTCTTTGACTCTAAGACACCATTGATTAAACAAGACCTTATTATTTATGTGGGTTTTTTTTTATTTTTAAAAATTTGTTTGAGGGTGTGTACTTTCCAGGAAGAGAGAGAGAGAAAGACAGAGAGGAAAGGTGAGAAACCATCTCCTCATGGAGGATGGTCATGCTGCAATCCCTTCTCCTCTGTTTCTCTCTTTGAGATTTTGAGTGCACCCACACATCCACATGTGCATACATGTCCAGTGTGTTTTCTAAGCCACCAGGTCATGCCCTCAGCCTGCAGGATCCACCATGCCACTGGCTAGCCTGAGGCACCATTATTTATGTGCCACTAACAAAGAAGAAAAAACGCTGTCATTGAAACAAAGAAACCATGACACAACATTTTCTAATCATTCATG